AGGGAAAGAAACACACTGGAACTTGATACTAAGAACACGTCCTGCAGCTGGCACAGCAGTCATGGCACTGGACCCATGAACACAACACACAGCTGGCTAACCAGGAAAAATACTTCCTGTGTTTTTAAGCAGCTATTGTTTTCCAACTTTTAGAACCGACCTATAGACAAACTGGAGGGCTTCTTTCCCCTCAGTCCGCGACCACGATGATCAACACTGACGATGTAAAAACTGGTGGGCTTTGGGAAGTGAGACGAGCAAGGGGAGGCGAGAAGGGTAGGGGCCGTTACAGCTGCATCTTCATATCGAGAGGGCAGAAAACGTAAGTGCACTATTTAAAGAATGAGAAAGTACAGACTAGGGAAACCTGGAAGAAAGAGAGGGAGGGAATGCTAGGTCCCCTTTCCTAGGGGTGACAGAGATTGTCTATTTAAATAAACAGTTCAACTAAATATTTAAATAGTTTAAATAAATCTCATTCAGTGATAGAGGTAACAAAAAACACATGATTAAAAGTGGTTTTCTCTGGAAACTAAGGTGACATAAATCAGGATAGCGGTCACCCTCAGGTGGTGAGGGAGTGACTAAAAAGTGATGGGGCTTGGGGCGGGCAGGAGCAGGCTCCTGACACCGTTTCGTTTCTTGAACTGGAGGTAACCAGTGAGTTTTCGCAATTGTGTATTCACTTTGTGAAAACTCACTGGGCTGCTTACAATTTGTGTACTTGGCGAGTTTTTCTTCAATAACGTGCTAACTTAAATAAACAGAAATTGTTAAAGTAGGAACCTCTGGGCAGTTGGAATGATCTATGTATCATTCCTTCCACTAAGAGGCTGGGTATTAAAGCAAAGCACTATGACTGAAAACACCTCCAAATAAGGCCAATCTGCAAAAAAGAAAAGACATTACAGGGCTTCCCTGGTGGCACAGTGGTTAAGAATCCACCTGCCAACGCAGGGGACACGGGTTCAAGCCCTGGTCCAGGAAGATCCCACATGCCGCGAAACAGCTAAGCCCGTACACCACAACTAATGAGCCTGCACTGTAGAGCCTGCGAGCCACAACTACTGAGCCCACATGCCGCAACTACTGAAGCCTGTGCGCCTAGAGCCCGTGCTGTGCAACAAGAGAAGCCACCGCAATGAGAAGCCCGCGCTCGCTGCAATGAGAGAAAGCCCGTGCGCAGCAATGAAGACCCAACGCAGCCATAAATAAATTAATTAATTTAAAAATTTTTTAAAAAAAGAAAAGACGTTATACCAGTATCTGATTGTCTGAGTTTCTTTGAAACTTCAATTCCATTTTCTTCTAACTTCCTCTTTGCACAGTCCTGGCATGCATTACCTGAAAGATGAAAACTTTTATTAAAAAACTTATCTAAGAACGGCTATCATCAAAAAGAACATAAACAACAAATGTTGGCAAGGATGTGGAGAAAAGGGAACCCTTGTACACTGTTGGTAGGAATGTAAACTGGTGCAGCCACTGTGGAAAACAGTATGGAGGTTTCTCAAAAAACTAAAAATAGAATTACCATATGATCCAGCAATCCCACTCCTGGGTATATATCCGAAAAAAACAAAAACTCTAATTGGAAAAGATACATGCACCCCGGTGTTCATAGCAGCCTGATTTCAATTGCCGAGATATGGAAGAAAGTGCCAGGTGTCCATCAACAGATGAATGGATAAGGAAGTTGTGGAAGACATCCTGGAATACAATGGAATACTACTACTCAGCCATAAAAAAAGAACAAAATGTTGCCATTTGCAGCAACATGGAGGGACTTGAAGGACATTATGCTAAGTGAAATAAGTCAGACAAAGACTGCATGGTATCACTTACACGCAGAATCTAAAAAATATAATAAACTAGTAACAAAAAAGCAGACTCACAGATATAGAGGACAAACCAGTGGTTACCAGTGGGGAGAGGGAAGTGGGGAGGGGCAATATAGGAGTAGAGGATTAAGAGGTAAAATCTATGAGGTGTAAAATAAGCTACAAGGGTATATTGTACAACACAGGGAAAACAGCCAGTATTTTATACTAACTATAAATGGAGCATAACCTTTAACAGTTGTGACTCACTGTATCGCACACCTGTGACATATAACATCGTACAGCGACTATACTTCAATTTAAAAACAATTTTAAAAATTGCTTTAATTTAAACACCTGATTTTACTGAAGCGCTGACCAACTAATCCCTACCAAACGCTACAGACGCCTATCAAGTTAATGCTTTTTTCAGAAGAAATGGATGACTCTGGGAGTCAGAGAACGCAGCTAAAATAAATGTGTCCTTTCCCACGGAGATAAGGGAGAAACGGAAAGCTGAGCGCGCCCGTTTCACTAATTCCTTAACTGAAGCCCGTGCAGCACCACCAAGTTTCTATCTGTGGCGCTGCTGAGAGGGGCAGCGAAACCGGGGCTGCAAGGCCCCCAGCTCCGCTGACCAGAGCCCCTCCTAAGCCAAGTGACTGACCAGCGTGGGGAAACCTGGCACTAAGTTCACCCCAGGGTGGACGCCGGGAGCCTCTGCGCGCAGTCATACCTGGTCAGCTCATAAATGGGCAGAGTCGAGCCCTGCAAGATGAGTGTGGACATTTCAACCACGTAGTAGATAGAAAATTTTACACCAACGCTTAGAACCTCTGCAATTAAAATCTCTGAAGGGGATGGGTCAAATTATGCACTACCATGTGTAAAACAGAGAGCTAGCGGGAACCTGCAGTACAGCACAGGGAGCTCAGCTCGGTGCTCTGTGATGACCTAGGTCGGGGGGCGGCGGGGAGGGAGGTCCCAGAGGGAGGGGGTATGTGTATACATGGAGCTGATTCACTTCATTATCCAGCAGAAACTAACACAACGCTGTAAAGCAATTATATCCGATTTAAAAAAAAAAAAATTCACTACATCTTAGCCCCAGCGGTATGACACAGATGGACTCCTGTCCTAACTCCCCCGGACTCTTGGTTCCAGGACAGGAAATTATTGGCCCACGTTTGACAGAGCTGCTTCCCAGTTCAAGGGACCGTCACGCAGGTGTTGCCATCTAGCGTCTCTGGCGGGGCTGTCTTGACGCGACACGGGCTAAGTATTCTATGTGAGAAACACATCTATGATTTTATAAGTAAGAGGAGGAAAACACTGGGACTCGTAGGCAAAAACCAGGCTGGCAAAAGCCAAGATGTGCTTTACCGAACAACGTGGTGCTGTCCACTCGATCGGCATCTGGGGAAGAAAGGAGAACAGTCAGCAGAGGCCACTCCACAGCGCCTCCTCCTCTCCACCCCCAGGGCCGACGTGAGGGCTGAACCCCGACGTGTGAAGCCCCCGAGCCGGCCCGGGCACGGGGATGACTGAAAACACCTCCAAATAAGGCCAATCTGCAAAAAAGAAAAGACATTACAGGGCTTCCCTGGTGGCACAGTGGTTAAGAATCCACCTGCCAACGCAGGGGACACGGGTTCAAGCCCTGGTCCAGGAAGATCCCACATGCCGCGAAACAGCTAAGCCCGTACACCACAACTAATGAGCCTGCACTGTAGAGCCTGCGAGCCACAACTACTGAGCCCACATGCCGCAACTACTGAAGCCTGTGCGCCTAGAGCCCGTGCTGTGCAACAAGAGAAGCCACCGCAATGAGAAGCCCGCGCTCGCTGCAATGAGAGAAAGCCCGTGCGCAGCAATGAAGACCCAACGCAGCCATAAATAAATTAATTAATTTAAAAATTTTTTAAAAAAAGAAAAGACGTTATACCAGTATCTGATTGTCTGAGTTTCTTTGAAACTTCAATTCCATTTTCTTCTAACTTCCTCTTTGCACAGTCCTGGCATGCATTACCTGAAAGATGAAAACTTTTATTAAAAAACTTATCTAAGAACGGCTATCATCAAAAAGAACATAAACAACAAATGTTGGCAAGGATGTGGAGAAAAGGGAACCCTTGTACACTGTTGGTAGGAATGTAAACTGGTGCAGCCACTGTGGAAAACAGTATGGAGGTTTCTCAAAAAACTAAAAATAGAATTACCATATGATCCAGCAATCCCACTCCTGGGTATATATCCGAAAAAAACAAAAACTCTAATTGGAAAAGATACATGCACCCCGGTGTTCATAGCAGCCTGATTTCAATTGCCGAGATATGGAAGAAAGTGCCAGGTGTCCATCAACAGATGAATGGATAAGGAAGTTGTGGAAGACATCCTGGAATACAATGGAATACTACTACTCAGCCATAAAAAAAGAACAAAATGTTGCCATTTGCAGCAACATGGAGGGACTTGAAGGACATTATGCTAAGTGAAATAAGTCAGACAAAGACTGCATGGTATCACTTACACGCAGAATCTAAAAAATATAATAAACTAGTAACAAAAAAGCAGACTCACAGATATAGAGGACAAACCAGTGGTTACCAGTGGGGAGAGGGAAGTGGGGAGGGGCAATATAGGAGTAGAGGATTAAGAGGTAAAATCTATGAGGTGTAAAATAAGCTACAAGGGTATATTGTACAACACAGGGAAAACAGCCAGTATTTTATACTAACTATAAATGGAGCATAACCTTTAACAGTTGTGACTCACTGTATCGCACACCTGTGACATATAACATCGTACAGCGACTATACTTCAATTTAAAAACAATTTTAAAAATTGCTTTAATTTAAACACCTGATTTTACTGAAGCGCTGACCAACTAATCCCTACCAAACGCTACAGACGCCTATCAAGTTAATGCTTTTTTCAGAAGAAATGGATGACTCTGGGAGTCAGAGAACGCAGCTAAAATAAATGTGTCCTTTCCCACGGAGATAAGGGAGAAACGGAAAGCTGAGCGCGCCCGTTTCACTAATTCCTTAACTGAAGCCCGTGCAGCACCACCAAGTTTCTATCTGTGGCGCTGCTGAGAGGGGCAGCGAAACCGGGGCTGCAAGGCCCCCAGCTCCGCTGACCAGAGCCCCTCCTAAGCCAAGTGACTGACCAGCGTGGGGAAACCTGGCACTAAGTTCACCCCAGGGTGGACGCCGGGAGCCTCTGCGCGCAGTCATACCTGGTCAGCTCATAAATGGGCAGAGTCGAGCCCTGCAAGATGAGTGTGGACATTTCAACCACGTAGTAGATAGAAAATTTTACACCAACGCTTAGAACCTCTGCAATTAAAATCTCTGAAGGGGATGGGTCAAATTATGCACTACCATGTGTAAAACAGAGAGCTAGCGGGAACCTGCAGTACAGCACAGGGAGCTCAGCTCGGTGCTCTGTGATGACCTAGGTCGGGGGGCGGCGGGGAGGGAGGTCCCAGAGGGAGGGGGTATGTGTATACATGGAGCTGATTCACTTCATTATCCAGCAGAAACTAACACAACGCTGTAAAGCAATTATATCCGATTTAAAAAAAAAAAAATTCACTACATCTTAGCCCCAGCGGTATGACACAGATGGACTCCTGTCCTAACTCCCCCGGACTCTTGGTTCCAGGACAGGAAATTATTGGCCCACGTTTGACAGAGCTGCTTCCCAGTTCAAGGGACCGTCACGCAGGTGTTGCCATCTAGCGTCTCTGGCGGGGCTGTCTTGACGCGACACGGGCTAAGTATTCTATGTGAGAAACACATCTATGATTTTATAAGTAAGAGGAGGAAAACACTGGGACTCGTAGGCAAAAACCAGGCTGGCAAAAGCCAAGATGTGCTTTACCGAACAACGTGGTGCTGTCCACTCGATCGGCATCTGGGGAAGAAAGGAGAACAGTCAGCAGAGGCCACTCCACAGCGCCTCCTCCTCTCCACCCCCAGGGCCGACGTGAGGGCTGAACCCCGACGTGTGAAGCCCCCGAGCCGGCCCGGGCACGGGGAGCTGCCACCACGACTGCGGTTGCTGCTGACCCACCAGCCTCTCCCAGCAGAAGCACCTCAAGAACACGCGTACAGACGTCCCTAAGGACACGGTCACACATTACAAGTCCAAACGGCCTTCAGCCCCCAGCAGCCTGTCAGTCCACTCAGCTGCCAGGGTCTGGAACAGGGGGCCTGGGTGGGGAAAGGAGGCCCCGCCAGCGGCGGCAGGCGCGGGAGCCCCGGGCGAGGCCCCGTGGGTCAGGAGCAGCGGCGCCAGCGCGCAGGCCCGCGCAGGGACACCCTGAAGGCATGTTCCACTCTGCTGTCGGTCCAGGACCCCAGCCCCAGCTTCAAAATACCTGGGCACTAACTCTCTGAGCCTATCTCATCAGCTCTAAAATCATCTACTTAGTAGCAGTGGATACTGTGACCAAAAGTGAAATAAGGTCAAGGATGTGAAATTCACAGCCGTGTCGGCTCCCTGCTCTTCCCCGTAGTAAAAAAAAGTAGACTGCCGCCCTAACGACACTTTTATTAATGTGAATGCAACTTAGGTCAGTCCATCTTGCTAATTATTAGCAATTCGGAAAAGGACTAGTGGGAAGAAGCAAGACTCTGCTGGATTATCTGTGCATTTGGTTCCCGTGATCCTCGCGTTATCTCTAGTCTTCAAGTTCATGGCCGGTCACATGCAGGCAGCTTTGTGGTTAACCCAATTCCACTGCGTGGGTGACTACGTCTGGGTTTCCTATTACCGTGACATGACAGCCAATACAGACGTCTTGAAGTCTGCCGTCATCCATGTTTTATGACACCAAACTCAAAGCCGTGAACTGCCCTTATGGCAAGATGACCAGTTTAAGAAGTGCTCACTTCTCTTGGTCATTCCTGGCAGATGATCAATTCCCCAAAGAAGGGCCAAGGAGAATTACTTAAAAGGTGTGTTGCACTCAGCAGAACAGGGAAAAGATGTTACTGAAAAAAGAAAAGTCTTCATGAAATCATTTTGTGCTGCCGTGTTTTAACTTTTGAAATGTAGTGACAGGATCAAGGTATGGGGTATCTGCATTTTTCAGGCTGTCAGTATCACAGCTGATGAAGCCGGCTGGGCAGTTTTCTTTCTCCATTAAGGTAGTCTGAAGCGTGGCATGTCATCTGTGACGAACAGATGCATACAACTATACGCACAGCTTTGACGGTGACGTTGTATTTATACACTATTGCTATCATACCAATAACCCTCATCTTCTATTTTTAAAGTACACAGAGACATTAAGAAAAATAACAACTGGAAGACTAGTAAATCTAATGGTATGTAAAATTGCCTCTCAATTTTATTTTACAGTATGTAATTTATACCTACGAAAAAGGGGGGAAAAATGGAAGAATCCTATCAGATTTGTATATTGAAAAGTGAAAAAAAAAAAATCCCATACCTGGACTTCGCTGTTTGCAGATCTGAGTGGCGAGGTCTTGCACGTACCCCGGAAAACAGTCAAAGCAGTCCCCGTAGGACACGACTTTGATCCCACGCAGAAGCATGTCCGCCTGCTGCTTAAAGAAATGGTCTTCGCTCTCCTTGAGCACAACCATGTAGTGCTCCAAATCCGCCTTGTCCGGCACCGAATAAAGGAAGAGGGCCTGGAATATCTGATCACGGAGGGTCTCTCCGCAGCCCACAAACAGAAAGGATTTGGTGCGGTACAAGTTCTGAAGAACTTCCTGTGAAAGAACCAACGAGGAGATCGAGATGCTCATCTGAAAGTGAGATCTTACGACGTAAAGCTAGATATTTGTGATTTTAAATCGTTGCTCCCTAACCGGCCTTTCCCAAGAGCCACAGAGGAGCAAAGTTAGGAAAGCAGCAAAAGGGAGGGAGCCCCTTCCTCTCCAAGCCCGGGCGAGCGGCCCAGGCCCCAGATCCACGTCCCCAGATCCGTGCACATGCGCTACTGCCCCCCCCCCCGCACCCTGCCACCTCGTCAGCGCAGAAGTCATTCATTTCCAATCTCCTACATTTATGTACAATTTTAAATGATTAAAACATAAAATAAGGGCGTGAAATTTTCTTTCAGCTCCGAGCTGCGCATACGTAAGGGCCTGGAATTGACCTCTGTCCCAGTGAATCACAGGTGGGAACTCTGCGGAGAGGGGCCTGGCCTCGGAAGAATAGGGTTTTGGGGAGTGCGGGCAGGAGAGCTGAGGAGGGGACCAGTGACAAGGACCCAAGGGAGTGGCCACAGAGGGAAACAAAGATTATTAGCGGGGTCGCTCAGGCACGCAGCAGAGAATCGCCAGTTCCGACACCCAAACACCTCCGAGAGGTGCAACAGGGCCAGGTGCTTCTTCCCACGCAGCACCAGCGCAACTGAGGGAGGGAGGGCCTGACGCTGAGCTCAACAGCCAATCAATGAAGACCTGTGGTTTCTTAAGTGTCATAATAAATGAGTTTATAAAAAGCCAGCAGGCAGTTTCTCCACGCTTCATTTTGTCCAGGATATCAAAAAAGCCTCACAGAGAATGAAATTTTAAAACTAGGTTTTGAAAGCTAAAAGAGATTGCTAAATAGAGAAGGGGAAGGAGATGCCTGAATGAACAGAGAAAAAAGATGAGTAGAGAGGAGTGGCCAGAGGAGAGCGCTGCAGACCGTGCAGGGGCCTGTGAGTCACGCTGAGGAAACGTAACTGGAACCCTGAGTAAGAGGATCACGGAAAGTCCACTGAGCATCTATTCAAGGTGCCAGGCCCTGTGGCGGGCCCTGGAGACAGAGCTGAGAGCAGCGGCGTGACCCGAGGGGCAGGAGGCCTGGAGGCCAGGAACCTGCTCAGACCGCTGCCACTGCTGGCTAGCGGCCGCCACACAGCCCCAGGGGTACGACCAGTGCCTAGTCAGGATGCGCATACCATGACTTCCGGGTCTTGGGTAACGTCTTTGTATCCCGATAGGTCCAACACCATCCCGCAGGGATCTGTGTATAAGCCGTGAATGTGAAGAACTCCGTATTTGATGTGTCCTCTAGCCCACTGAAGGACCTAGCAAAGCGCAAGCCAGACAGAGGAAGAACACTGGTATTTAAAACAGGTGTAAGAGGAAAATATCCACAGTGATTCATGGCCTCTCAAACCTACCTGGGAAACAGTAAGAGATGCTTCAATTTATATCTTTAAACCTAAGAGAAACTCAGGTGTTAAATGCTAGCTATTCCTGTCCTGCCATATCGAAAAGAACTTCAGAGACCAAGACTGTTATGTAGAAAATACCTTTAACATCTCAGATTATAGCACACTGTCAAGACTGATGAGTTTAGGGAGATGATGAAGGCTTTCACTTCTAAGTCACATGTTTTATTTTAATTACTGCTAGGTATACAATGTTTGTACACCCAGAAAAAATATACATATACAGAAAAAATAATTTATCAAATAGCTCTAAATTGGCTTCATTTCAAGATACAGAAGATGCACATCACGTATATTCCTTTTATCTCCACGCCACGGGCTCTCACGTCAGCGGGCCGGACTGACAACCCCAGACAAATGGACTAACCCCCGCCCCTGCCCCCCACGAGCAGGCGGAGGAGCCAGCACTTCTGTTCCCTGCCACATGCAGCTTATTTCCAGAGGCCCTCGGTACAGCAGGGAGCAGCGCCGCAGACGGCACCACGCTGCTCCAACACGGGAGCAAGGTGTCCTGCCACGTGTCACGGGGGGGCCCGCTCGAGGCGTCGGCCGGGGGCCCGTCACAATTCCTCGGCCAAGCGCCGGGAGACGGGCCGCCTAAGGGCAGCTCCCACACTTCCCCGGGTCCCGAGTAAGACAGCATCACAACGGGCCTCGATGTCCCTGCGTGTGGAGCGGGGCTGGGACCCCCTGCCCGCCAGCAGTGAAGCAGGAACAGGCAGCGGCCGTAGCCGGCAGGGATCGTACAAATCCACAGGCACACACAGCGCACAAGAAATACAAGCGATGCAATGAAACTGTGGTCAAACTTAGCAATAAAAGAAATAAAAGCGTAAAATGTGCACCTTTCCGACAGGAGAAATGTGTTTTGTTAGGATTTTTAGTAACGCCTCGTGCTGGCAAGACATGGGAGACGGAGTCCCCCTCACACAGCTGCAGGAGTGTAGACTGGAAATCTTTCTGGAGAACACGTGGGTGATTTACATCGTTTGTCTTTAAAATGGTCATACCCTTTGACCCTAACAAGTTCTCCAGGAACTTATCAAAAGTGTAGGAATTTTCACTGTAGTATTATTTATAGTTGTGAAAATATGCTCACAATGATAACTATAATCTAGTCTCACAATGAAATTACGTTTAAAACCATGCTTTTAAAGACAGTCTGACGACAGGAAAATGCTCACAGTATAATGTTAAGGGAAAGTATCAGCACAAAAGCTTGACGTGTGCTGCATCCTGGTGTGTTCATTAATAAGTAAACAAGCCAATTAACCAAAATTCACAGCAATAGGACCGCAGGTGATCTTGCTTTCCTGAACTACAGCCTTCATCACCCACATCTCCTACAATGACAGAGCCCTCGCGGGTGTACAGCACACAAGCCGACCGGAAGCCGGGGCAGGCAGACGAGGGGTCCTGAGGAGCTGGCGGCAGCGCCCTGTCCCAGGCCCTCCGTGTCTCGTTCCAGCGGGGAGAGGAGCCTCCACGAGCAGACAGCACCCTTCCTATGACGGGCCCTCTGCTGGGAGGTGACAGCTCGTGCCACACCACAGCAGCAGTGCAAACGTGCCTGCGCCTCTGCCTCTACTCCCGCCTCCCGCCCCGGCGGCCGGCCCGCACCTTGGTCTTGTCCTTCAGATCCAGAGACTCCATGGGCTTGTTGTGCTGCTGCCCGAAGATCTCCAGCAGGTTGTCGTAGTTGGTGGTCAGCACCATGGTGCCCCTCTCCATCAGGCTGAGGATGGACTGCAGCACCAGCGGGCTCTGGATGTGCTGCTCCAGGTTGTCGAACACCTCCAGCAGGCAGTCCTGGAAGAAGCTGGGCTTGGAGTCGCCCGTGCGCTACGGAGAGGTGGACCCGGAGTTACAAAACCGCCAGCTCTCAGCCACCACCGAGCACCTAGGCAGGTGACAGTACTCTAGGCGCCAGGGATGCAGTCATTTTTTAAAAAAGAGAAAATGGCTGACCTTGTAGAGTTTACTGAAACCCTAGGGGAGGGAGGCAGGTAACGTGCAAACATGTCAGCAGTGATACACACTGCGGGGAAGCCCAGCAGAGAAGGGGGCTCGCTGCCGCGCGGCAGATGGCAGACGGGCCTCTGATAATCGAGCAGAGCACGGAGGGAGGGAGGGAGGGAGGCAGCTCTGGAGAGGGTGGCCCAAGCGGGGGAGGAGCCAGCGCCAGGCACCAAGGTCAGAGCACAGGTGGGGCTGAGGGCGGGAGAGGAGTGAGGGCACGTGCCACAGGTGAGGCCAGACAGCTGACCTGGAACCAGGTCACGTGGGGCCCTGAAGACCACAGTGAAGACCGGGGCTCCCTCCCCTCCGCGGGAGCCACAGAGGCACTGGTCTCCTCCTTGCTGCTCTGGGGAACTGGATGAAAGACAGCGTGTCATGCTACTGAGAGACCGAGCAGGGTCAGGAGTGGGACTGGGCCCCCGGATGTAGCACCAGAGGTCACTGGTGGCCTTGACCAGAGCGGCCTCAGGGGAGCCTGGCCAGGCTGCGTTCCGAGGGGAGGTGAGCGAATACAACAGCTCCTGAAGAGCTGTGCTGTGAAAGGGAACAGAGAGATGGGGTGTGGCGCCAGGAGGATGCTTCATGCACTCCCAGCATGAGCGCCCCTCAGCCAGCCTTGCCCCGGGGCCAGCAGGACGGGCGGTAGAGCCTGACCCGTGCGTTCACATGAAACACCTCTGCCGGCCCCTGCCCACCGCTGGCGCCCCCAGCTCCACCGCCATCGGCCTCGGGAGCGTCCACCAGAGCCCCCCCACATCCTCCCAGCTGGTCGCTCATCCCAGGGTTCGGCGCTCCCTCTTCCGAGACTCTCCTGTCCCTCCCTGCTCTGGAGACCCCCCGCTGTTCCTGGGCTGCACCCTCGCATCTTCACGCGCTTCTGTGAGCCTTCGCCGCCTCCTTCCGCCCTGAAGACCAGCTCCCCATGTCCCTGGCACCGCACACTCCGGACCAGGGAGGATGCGAGGGTGGCACCCGCTCGCTGCCGAGTCTCTCCAGCTGCGCTTCTGTCACAGCTCACGCGGGGTTCACATCCACGCAGCTGATCCTTCCTATATCACAGCCTCTAAATTCCTCCATCACCCTCCTCCAGCGATCCTGTCCCATCTCCGCCATCCACACCCCAAACCTTATCATGACCAGCAGCAGGACCCTTTCCAGAAGCCCTGGCCAGCCTCTCCCTCCACCTGCCCAACTCTTAGCACCGCGGCTCCCAGGGGACTTCACCCCACTGGGACCCACGGCCCTGACCCACTGCCTCTCCCTCCCCCGCCAGCCTCACTCCTCCCATCACGCAGCCTAGATTCCATAATGTAACACTACAGTTACTCCTGAAATTCGCTTTCAACTTCCCCGCCCTTCCCTGGCTTTGCTGGAATCCTTGGGCAAAACCCCAACCCTGAGAAAACCAACTCTCCACTTACTCTGCACCTGTTCCCACCCCGCTGAACACGAGGAAAACACAACCATCTGACTGCCTCGCTTGAATTTTTTTTTTTTAACGGAAGTTCTCAAAAATACCCAAAAGTAAAGAGGAGAATAAGATAAACCTCCAAATATTCACCTCCTTGACTAAACAAGCATCCACCCAGCTGGCCTCTATTTGAACGAATGGCCTCATCCGAGGGGTCCTTCTCTGGTCCATCGACTCTGCCCCTCCCTCTCCTGACAGGGCTCAGCAACTTCCTTTAGAAAGGGCCCGAGAGCAAACTATTTTAGGCTTTGCGGGTCACACAGTCTCTGCTGCCAATACTCAACCCTGCCCTGAAGCATGAAAGCAGCCGCCCTAGACACTGTGCAAAGGAAGCAGAACCTTATTTACAGAAACAAGCAGCAGCGAAACCCTGCCGCGTGGCGCTATTTCCCCTATTAATACAACACCCATACCTGGCATTGTCACCCAGCTAAAGCCACTTCCCAGACTCTGGTAAAGCCACGTATGGCCACATGTACAACTCCGGCCAATGCCATGAAAACAAAGTGGATTGCATGTCAGCCCCCGTAAGGGAGGACGCACGGCCCCTCTGTCCCCTTCCCACTAGCTGGCAGGCACACATCATTTATAGCAGGAGTCGGGGCAGCTAACCTTGAGCATGAGGTGCGGGCTGCACGGTGAAGACAGCGGAGCCATGAACGGGGGCCCGGGTTCCCCACGCCGTCAAGCCCCTGTGCTCCCCTGGGGCTGCCTACCCAGATGTTTATGTGAGAAATGTAAACGCAATCACAGTCAAGCCACGTATTTTTGGGTTTCTTTCTGCAGCAGCTGAAGTTCTGTGGACTAGTCTTCAGGCTTTCTTCTCGGTTAACCCTCAACATCTCCCCACCCCAACTCTCAGATGATGGCTATACCCCTCTTCAACAGACCTAAGGGGAAGAAAGCTGCCTCGGGCCTCAGCCGCACCATCTAGCTCCCTGCGTGCGTCCTGTCCGATGACGACCTGGCTGTGACCTGTGTGAGCTCAGCCCTTTCCACACCCGCCCCACTGGCTCCAGGCCATCACTCAGTGTGTCCCCTGCATCACCAACCGC